TCTGGAGATATTCAAGGCCCGCCTGGATGAAGTCCTGTGTAACATGCTCTAGGAGAGCCTGCTTTAGCAGGGGGGTTGGACTAGATGATCTCCCGAGGTCCCTTCCAACCCTTGCGATTCTGTGATATACTATCAGCATTCTGTAACTCTTAGATGTAACCTTTGGATCCAGTGGTTTTCCAAATCTACTAGAATTCTGACTGCCTCCAATAAATACAACCCAGGACAGATTATTCTTGTTAATCACTAAGTACAGTTTCTTGGAATGGAGGAGATGCTCTAAGCCCTCAATACCCAGATTCTGTTCTAACACAACCAGTATTTCTTCTGGAATAAGCATGTTTGTCTAGATAATTCCAGTGCAGGAGTCTTTCAAAACAAAATGGAATTTTGCAGGTAGGGAAACAAGTATAAACAAACACACTGATATGCTAATCTGTTAAAGACATCCTAAGCCTTTGTCTTTTTCATACAGTAAAACTGAAATGCAAAATACATCTCATAATACACTGAAGTAAATTCAGTATACAAACTTGAAAACACGGTCATTGATTTCCATCCTACAACATACTGAGATGAAAGATTTTTCTAGTCAATAGCAGATAGCTAAAAAAGAAGAGAAAACCTGCACTAACTGATAATTTTACTGGATACTCTTTGAATGGTCAGTGTTCCATATCTCAGAAGCTTTCCAGAAGACAGTCAGCAGCTTCATATAAGATGACTGCCTACACTGAAATAATGGTTTCTGAAAAGGAACATTTCAGTTTTAGCTTTTCTGGATGACATACAAAATTCAACCACAATAGAGGAAATGATATGCTAGTAATGAAAAAATCAGTGACTAGTTAACACTGGGTTCTATGAAAATAATGCATCAAAATACTGAATTTATATACAGCAGAAACTCCTTCTATTACCAGTACAAACAGTTAGATGAAGGGCTTGAAGCATTTGACAGCTCTTTAAAAATACTTGAACTTCTAAGTGGTTATAATGCACCAACTAAAATTGGAAACTTTAAGAACCATGATAACAGAAAGCAAACTCTATGTGCGTGACCACTATCTCAAGTTCTCTATCAGGTGCAGGTTTTGTAAACCTGTGGTTTGTGGCAGGGAGACTAAGTGAGGCATAAGTGACACTGTACAAAGCGATACAGATAAACAGTGATATTCTCCGAACTGACATAAACTAAAAAAATGATTAACTGAGACAGTCCATCCAATCTTCTCTTCCTGCAAGAGTATGACAGTGCTGAGGTGGCATCAATTTCTAACTCCATGCTTAGTCAGTTTAAATTACTTAAGCTGTGATAAAATATGGAGAAGGCACTCCTTATTAAGAAATTAACTGCAAAAAATTGCTGCTTATATTGAGATTTACCACATTCTATGCTGCATGATGAAGCAGTAAAAAGAGGAATTTATTTTTCCAGACTTCCAAGACTACTGTTGCATGAAAATCATATGCAGGGAAAACAAAACTGTTCTGATTCATTATTAGGAAAAAAAAAAAAAAAGTGATGGTATGACAGCCCTTCTGCATTTCTGAATGAAAAGACACTGAGTGATTCTATTACACTTACCATATAGAAGATTGAAAGCTGGAAATATTTTAAGATCAGTTAATAAAAAAGAACTTTCAAAAGAAATATATTTTGGACAATAATTCTAGAAGATATGCTAGAAGATACATAATGGGAAATTCTGTAGTAAATATTAGAGGATGAAACAATAAATATCTTCAAGACCACTCTCACCAGCTCAAATTTGCTGATCTATGATATAGACTATTAATGTTTATTTTTAAAATAATGTTAGCCAAAAATAACAGCATCTCACATAAAAGACACTGTAATGCAATCAGAGTCAAAACTTTTAGTTAATTATACAAACCTTTACTAGCTTTATCTAAATGCTGAAAATCCTCAACAAAATTCAGGACATCCTCATAGCTTTCTTCACACACTTCTACGAGAAAATGGAGCAATGTAGTTTTTTGATCTGCTGACTTCGTGTCCTTCAGCTAAAGAGAAAAAAAGAAATGTTAATACACTGAGAATAAGATTACTTCTGACTGTTTTGATAATTAATGTATGTTATTAATTCTGAAGCCAAGAAAGGTAAGAACAAACTGTTGAACTGGTACAGCTCTTTTAAACAGGGTGTTTCATTTCCCCCCTTGCTAAAAATCCCTACAAAGTTCACATTAAATATCTTTTAAAACTACACAATATTTGAGTTCTGTACTCAAAACCATTACACCTTTCTCTTTTAAAAATGTAATTATTTAAGCAATATAGGAATATTTGCAAAACTCAATAGACTCATTACAGTGTAAAAAAAAAAAAAAAAAAAAAAAATCAGAGCTAAATCAGCAAAATCTAACAATGCATGATGATGCACATATCCACTCCATGACATGATTTCCTTATTGTGTGAAGCTAACTCTAGCCTAACAATATTTACGCAGTGGAAGCTACAACCTCAACTGGCATAAGCTCTTCTTGTTATCAGTTCTCAGTAGGGCAAACAAGAGTTCATAGGCTTTATTGTTTAAAAACTTTTACTTGTAAAATTCTTCAACACAAACTTTTCCTTCTGAACCCTTTACACATATACAATTATTTTAAGCCCGTCCATTTTAAAACTTGCATTTACTTGTGCAAAACCACTAACAATTGACAACTGGCAAACATTCAGTTATAACGTTTCTGTTGTAGTCTCCTGTTTGAGCTACTCTTTTAAATCACTGGAGAGATTTTTAGAAATAGCAAATGACGTATAATGTCATTTTAAAATGGCATCTCATATGAAAGTATGAAAAGTATATGAAAGTACTTAAAAACTATTTCTGCATAAAACATTTTAACAGAAAAAGTATACATGTACATACAAAGTATGCACACATATACTAAAGAGCTGCCACAATTGCTTACAGACCTGCACATCTGAGTATCGGGGAAAAAGTCTTTAGCGCAGTATTACAACTAGCACAAAACAAGTAGAAAACTCATGTTAGTTTGTTTCAACTTCAAGACTGTTCTTTAGTTTGGTTACCAGGAAAAATACAAGTGATCAGCAATGCTCAATGGCATAAGAGTAACTACAGCAACAAGGCAGAAAAGATAATTCCTTTCCAAAGAGGGTTCAAAACCAGACACAAAGCTATATGGGAATTACTTCTGAATAAGGAACCGAGAGCAAGATCAGTCCCAATTTAAATATACATACACATTAATTGTTTATACGTATATAACCACAGTTTTCCCATGGTTGAAAATAGCCTAAAAAAGATTTTTTCACACCTCTTGTGCTTACCAATACCCTCAGGGATCACTTAAAGGGTGTTTTAATTAAAAAAAAAAATAAAAAAAAATTAGAGTATATTGTTTGCTTTTCTCAATACTGTATGTAAATTAAAATTGAGAATTTTGGATAAAAAAAAAAAAAAAAATAGAGTATATTGTTTGCTTTTCCGATACTGTATGTAAATTAAAATTGAGAATTTTGGATGTTGGTTATCACTGAAATTGATATTTAATACTTCACCGGAAAAAACTTAGTGATTATTTTCAAAGATCAAAACTATATCCTCTGAATAAATATGACAAGATATACTATCCCATAAGATATATGTTCGCCTTCAGATAAGTGGATTTATTATAATGCGAGACATAATTTTCAAAATAAACAGAAAATGGAACACATATCTCAAAAGCAAAAAATATATTCTAGGGTCATTACTGTATGCAGTATTATAAAATAAGTTACTTCTACTTTACTGGTAATCTCAGTAAGAAATGTCTCAATAATTGAAACATCACACAAAATTTCTACAATGTGACACTGCTTCTAATGCATGTAGTTAACAAAAGTTAGTTTTAAAAATAAACCAGTTATAAACATGCATATAACTTTAATATATCAGTATTTAATAAATTATTGAGTATTAGCATACTAATATCGTATCTCTCTTCTGAGAATATGCATGCATCTTCTTTGATGCAGAAGAACTATTATGGTTCACTTCTAAATGATGGAGGTAGAAGGCAAGGTATGGAATTGTCTTCTGCAAAGTGGGTAGTTCATATAGTTGCCTGTGCATAGTTGGGCACCAATGAAGAAGAGCAGGTAAATTCTGTATTCTTCAAGTATTACAGAAATCAACATCTTTGAAGGACAGAAGCCACTGCAAATTTCTTAAGTTCTCAGAACCCATACTGAAAACTGCTGTGCAGACCACCAAGCAGTCTGCAATTTGCAGTTTTCTAGTTTTGGGCCTTGAAGGAATATTGCTTTGGGTGGGTGTTTTCCTGTTTTAATACTAATATTTTTAATAGTTGAACAAGTTTATTATTCTCAGAACAGAGGAGATGAAGCATTAACCAAAACACTATGCATAGTTAATAAAATCCCAAAAATTACACATACATAGTTTTACCTCTGTGTTTCCAGACAAAGTGATCTGTCTGTGTAAGACACAATTTCATAACCAGTGAAGGCTTGGCACTCACGGACTTCCTAAATGAGGCCACAATTGGATGAGGTGAATTAGGAATTGGTGACTAGTATCCTGATACATATTTGGACTGGATAGTCCAGAGCTACCTCTAAAACCCAGCTGTTCAATACTGACACAAGCAAGAAAAATTGGAATAGAAATCGAATCTCAATTCTCCATCAGATCTGCAGATATATTGGAATGCCACCACGTATCATGAAGGAAGAAAACTGTGGCTGATGTGCTGAATACCTGGGTCTTTTTCAGTATTTGTCTGAGATGATAGAAAAATATAACATAAAAATATAACATTCTCAGATGATACTGACTACAAACGTAGGAAAGTAAATGCAAACTCCCCGTGATTCTCTGAAAATCTGTCAAATTTCAAAAGAACAAGTAGTCGACTGTAAGTTGCTCTTATCCTGGGATATCTAGTGGAAGAGATCTGAAATTTCACATTCTCTAAGGTGGCGATAGTTGCTCTGTCTCCCAGCAATATCTGTAACAGTTGGTCTTTCTTTCCTAGTCATAGAATGGTTTGGGTTAGAAGGAACCTTTAACGATCATCTCGTCCAACCCCCACGCCATGGGCAGGGACATCAATACACTCATATTCAACTACCATTAAGGGCTGTATTATCTTCCCCCTTGAAAAGTTTTTAAGCACAATGGTCTGGTATTTACAAACTAGCAATTTGAAGTGATGCAAAATCAAATATATATGAAATCTTTGTCTTTGGAACTTTGAGGTTTTTACTTGCATATTTCTTATGTAAATGGAACATTGAGTATTATTATATATGTTTATGCATAAATTAATGAAAGGAATAAACCAGTATCATAATTTCTAAATCATATAATGTTAATTACACTGTATTAAGCATTTTTATAATAGGGAGCAAATTACCTTTTTTGGTCCTTATAGCTTTGTATCTACTTCACCTACAGACTACTGGTAGTGATCAGCATGTTTCTTGAGCAGAAGGTGCTCAATGCCTAGTGACTAGATGTCTACTGACATCCCTTCTTACCTGAATTATTCCACGATTCTAAGAAAAATGCACACACTTCCCAACTAGTAAACTAAATACTCCATTCAAAATATTATTTATTTTGGTTCTTAATTTGGCCTCATGGCAACTCTGAGAATTATTGGTATACCTAGATTTCAAAAGCTTTCCACAATCTTCTTCACTATCAAGTTCTTAACTATCTTTGCTGCTAGAAAGCTTTCTTAACTTTTAAGCAAACTTCTTTTGTTACCAGCAAAGCCTACTATTCCATCTCTGATCTTAGCTACATAGAAAACAAATGTTCAAATACCTTCTTTATAATAAATTAATAACAAAAGGACATTGTTATGTCCTCCTCATGTTCCTCTCCTTCTTTTCTAAACTAAATACACCCAAATGCTTTTCTTCTCAGTTTACAAGTGTTTCATGTTACTATAATCAGGATTCTCACCAGTCTTATATTTTCTGCAGTAATTCAGACAAGACTTCACTTAAAAGCTTATGAGCACAAAGTAAGTAGTAGATAATTACCATCTTTATAATACACAGAAGGTCCACTTTTTCCTCTCCAACAGAATGTTGTAACCTCCTACAAAGCTAAATAACCTGTAAGCATGCAAATCTAAGTTAACTATGAGATCCTGTATTATCAAATGTAATTAATGCCAGAGCACTGTAGAGTTAGCCAGGACTTAAAGCAAATTTTCTGGAATTCTGCCCAGCCATTCACTCCTTACTTTCATTATCTGCACATATCAGTTCACTTTCCTATCTGTAGTACTTCATGGTAGTCTTCAAAATTTTCATCCTCTAGATTTTAAATTATTTCTCCAAGATAATTTTTGAATTTTGATCCTGCTCTGTAAAGTGTCTGTAACAATTATCTTCATATTGTTTTCATAAATAAATTTCTTTTATTGTTGTCTTGTGCACTAAAAATACAGACCTAGGACAGATTCTTGTAATATCATACCTGAGAAGTAAATGCACCTGATTGGAGAGAGAACCTATAGTAGCTTCCTTCTGAACATGTTTCTCAACAAATTGTACATTTAACTTGATAATTTCATCTATGCTACAATTCTCTAGGTGGCTGACACATGCTTCAATATTTGCTTTAGACTAGGGAAGGTCTTATTCTCTATGAATATTTAAGTTATAGATATCACATTCAACACTCGAGAACCACAGTGAAAGGATTCTTCTGAAACGGGCAGAGCAAGGGTGATTTTACAATATGTAAGACAATGAACTGTATTTTCTCTATTGTGTAAAAAGTTGAAGAAGCTGAGAGAAGACGAAGAGTACAAACTTCCAAATAACTCCTTTCTCATAAGGTGTATTACACATATGTGCACTCTGTGCAGATTTTGCACCTCCCAGAGGGCACAGGAAAAAAATAAAAGACACTAAATAAGAGGAAGGCAATTAAGATTGGAATTGATTATAAATTAACACGCAGGAAAGTATAGATGTCTCTTATATATACCTTATATAAAAGTTGAAATAGTGAAAATGTAAGGAACATAAGAAGAAACAGAGCACTGATAAAGCTGAGCAACAACAAAAGAGAATCAGATAAGGAGAAAAATTATATAGAAGAGAAAACATAACTGTACTAAACTAGATTAAAATGTTACAGTCTAAGAAGTGCTCAGACATGTAAGGCTACAACACTACTATGATCACAATGCTATGGTCCTCCCATAACCTTATTTATTTTGTTAGGGTTTTTTATTATTGCCTCAAAATGGACTCTTCTAAAAGTTTAAGTGTAAACCACTCTCAAGATGACTGTACACAGATTAGCTGTATTGTTCAAACCACCACCAAGTGCTAAGAATTACGAAAAAAAAAAAACCCCGAACTGAAGAATTAACTGCAGGAAAAACATTGACACAAGGTACTTAAGTAGCATAATAAAAACAAATTAAAAAGTGAATGTAATACTCAACATTGACATTTCAAAACTCACTTTACATAGGGAGCTGAGATTATATCCAAAGGTTTGTGCATTCCGAGAACCTGCGTTCATGTAGTTTCCCATTAACAATACTAGTTCCAGCAGCTTGCTAAAGCTTTTACTCTTCTTTATCTCTTCACAGGCAGCACTGACAGCCATGATGTCAGGTTTGATGTTGTTCACCTGCTCCTCAAACTGAAGCTTAAAAAGAATAGCACTGAGCCGTGGCCGTAGTCTCTTCACGTTGCTCATCTGATTGAAAAGAAAATAGGAGATTTCCTTTAAAATTCATGCTACACTTTGGCACTGTACAAATGCATACAATCTGTAATGATTTATTGGTGTGACAGGCTTGAAGAAGCAATATATCTGCTATAACTGATAGCAAATGAACGAATGAATGAGAGACACTTGGGTAAGCAACTGAAATCCCATCTTGTGGTTAATACGAACTGCCCCCATCCTTTCCCAATAACTAGTATGTGTAAGCAATAAAAGATAAAGTGTCATCATATATCACATCTGTCAACTCATATACCAAATCCTATAAAACTAATCCAAGTTTATGACCCAGTAGTTGCAAAGTAATAAAAGTAGTTCACAAATTTTGTGTAACTCAGGATGTACGAAAACAAGGTAAATCTTGTTTTCTGGTGCAAATGTTTAAAAGCTGATTTCAATAGAAGCTCACTGTGAACTTGCAGGGAAATAACAGTTTTGAAAAATCTCGGCTATGAAACACTTAATATAGCATATGTTAATATATATCAGTATTCATACCCCACTATACTACTGGACCTTATACAGTTAATTAGAAAAATGGTCTGAGGAAAACAGTAGCTTCTGTAGATCATATACACAAGGCTCTGCTTTTTCTATGGTTTGCTGGTCAGGGATTTTCAACAGAAGTATCAGTCTTCCTATATAACTTAGGCCACTGAATTCCTGCCCCAGAGATACTTTGCACATTATTTACTATACCCAAACAACAAGACTCCAAATGTTATTGGTTCTTTAAAACAAGGAACATTGAATGCATTCAGTAAATTAAATTCCTCCATCTCCCAAGTTTCCAATGTACTATTCATCCTTCCAACTCTATCACAGAAATCTTCAAACATTTTTTAGGTTTGGCATCACATACAACTCCAGAAGCTTTCTGTCTTCCATTCTCCTCCTTTTCTCCCTATCAGACATTATATGTTCCTTCCATTTTCCTTCTTCCACAGCAGAAATCATGTTTTTTTCCTCCCTGTTCTCTGGTTCTGTTTGCACATGAGAAATACTAGTCTCAGTTTCTCCCACAAGCTTCTTCCCTATCCCTGTTTTCTCACCTATTGATGAATTCTGGAAGACCTTCTTCCCCATACTTGTATTTTCCCTTGTCAAGGTAAGGTTCAAACCAATAACGCCTCAACTATCCCTGAAATCCTAAACTAGGTTTTGTTTTGGTTTTTAAATAAAAAACATGTTACAGTTTCCAGCTATCTCAATGCTACATAAATTTTCAGTACTATGTCAATGCAAGAAAAGAAGCAATAATATTGACACTTCTCCGACAAAGTAATAGGTTTCATACAGTGGCCTTAAAAGTTTCCCTTTAAATTGGAAATATTCCCCTCCAAACCACAGTGATACCTAAGGTTTTACAGAATATTTCTCAACCCATATCTATTCTATCAATGTGAAAATAGCTCTGACAGTTCAATGTTCACAAGTCATTTAGTGTTGATTATCCCACAATATGCTCAGTGAAAAGGATAATGGTGACGCTCTTCATCCATTTCAGTGTGAAGTCAAACCAGTTATCTTAAACTGATACTGAAGGCTGTCTAATGCAAAGGGTTTGATATAGAAGTAGAGGAGGATGGAATTTACAGTCTATTTTATTGCTGTTATTGTGACAGCAGTAGAAAATAAAATCAGGTAGAGTTAACATTTTATGCTACTAAGCCACTTCTGCAATGCCTGCCTGGCAGTGCAACCACCTGATGATGTCCCATTGAAGTCAACATACCATTTGCATTTTAGTTCAGATAAGAAATCTTGAAGTAAAATAAGCAATCCTTTCCACTAAGCACACTTGGGTTTGCATCACAGAGCAGAGCACACAAGCAGGATGTCTTTCAGATGAAACTAGATTGAAAAATCAACTCCACTACTGAGCTTTAGTCCCCAGACTGCCTCCAGCCTGGTCCTAAAGCAAAACAACAAAATGTATATAGTTGGAATGTTAGCTCAGTACCAAGTACAGGAAGATATTCTGTACTCATCATACACTAAATAATAGCAAATAGTGTGGTAAAATACTTACTTAAGAATGGGTAAAACAAGGATAATGGGACTTGAATTTAAATAGGGAATTTCATAGTGAATTAGAAATGGAAATATCTAAAACCCACCTAAAATGAACACAGTGTTATTACAACTTTAAACGTAACTTAGGAATAAATACCTTAAAAGAATATTAAGGTACTGGACAGAGGAAAGTGTCACAGTCATTCTCCCAGCTCCATCAGGAAGAATCAGTATTAACTCCTTTTCCTCAAACAATTCACTTACTAGATTTATACATGTACTACTACCACTCAGTATATTGAGAAGAATATTCTTAATTTTAAATTTTGTTCTTCATTCAGGAAAAAAATTTGAGACTAGACTAGAATAAACATAAAACTCCATTGAAATTATCCAGATTTTTAATATTTGTCCCTACTCAGGGTGCAATAGATTACCAATATCAAACCATGGGAACTAACAAAATAAAGTGTAAATTGCATTGATTTTAAGTGATACCAAACTCAAGATCCCAGAGAACCAGCAGATGATGCATTTATTGACTCTTGGTTTCTCAGACAGGCAGACTCTTGAACCTGAAATAATCAGGTACTTTAGATCACAAAGATGTGTTACACAAACTTGAGCAAGCACATATGTATGAAAGATGTTTTCATCAGAACCAGCTGAACTACAACAAATTAAGAAGTTCTGTATGTAAGCCCTAAGGATGAATGCAGAACTATGTAATCTGAAAATCAGAAATAGAAGCACGTGACAGAAACAAAATGGAAATGTCATTGGCATTTTTTATTATTGTTTTTTAAACATAGATGTTATATATAATTATATATATATATAATTATATACAAACCACAGTTAATGTAAAACACATGCTGTTGGTATTATTTGTCTACCTGTTTGCTAAATCAATTGAGAAGGGAGGAGACTGAGAGTTCCCTTAGCAATATGTAGCTTTCTTTGTGACATGTAGTCTACAAATATACTCAAACGGTAAAATCCATACACCTTATCATAAGGTATGCTAAGAATTTAAGTATCACAATGTGGAGAGGCTTATGTTCATGCTCTATACTTTTTTATACTCAGCATATAAGTACGTAAGTCTGCTTATGTCCTTACAATGAAATCCTGAAAACAGACAATCTGACTAACTAAAAAGGGCAGTTGAAGTAGAAAGCTAAAGAATGAGTGGACCTATACATGTCAGAGAACTCAGTGTATGGGTAATGAAATGTTCTCTTTTTCAAGTAGTAGTCTACAAGAATACTCTCACTATGTGCAAGTCCAAATGGGAATTGATAACTGAGTTGAGCTATCCAGTAGTAGCTCTCACAGCCCTTTATCCAGAAGCAGAGAGGTGTTTCTCTCAAATACAGCATAACTCAGAAGGCATCTGAAAGAATGTGCCATCTCATAAATGAGTACTTTCTCTGCTTTGTTGATATCAAGTAAAGGAACATGTCTCAGAAGTTACACTGACACTTCATTCTTACCAAAACCTCATAGAGAAAAACACTGCAAGGATTCCAGTTTCACAATATACCTTCCTTAAAGGATCAACAGTGCAGAGGCTGTCAGACCACTGGAAATTGTTCCCATCCAAAAAAGTAAAATACCAGTTACAGCCAACTAAGAAAATAAACTGCAAGGGCATCCCCTGTGGAAAACATATGGTTTCCATCACTGCAGCCTCACTGAACTCTACAGAGTGCAAAAGAAAGAAGTGTGAATTCCTAACACTTATCTTTAGACGCAGGCACTGGAAAAAAAATCCAAGTAAGGAAGAACTGATACCTTAACAGCCCATTTACCACATGTTTGAAGAAGAAAAAAGAACACCCTGCTCAATTTGAAATGGGCAGTCAACATGCCCAAATCTTAGTGAAGACCACCAGCATTCTGGAAAGACCAAAAATTGTTTCAGCATATGGGAAGTCAATACATGATAATGGAACAGTATTTTTGTTGATGTGTTTTTATGGCTATGTGGAAATAGCCCCACTCTTTTTTCCCAAGTAAGTGATAATAAAGTCAAGAACTGCCAACTCAAAACTAAAATTACTTATAAGAAATTATAAAGTCTTTATACTTGCAATGTGGACATGCAAACAATTGAACTGATGACTTTTCAGCCTTACTAGCACCGATAGAGGGCATATCCTGCTACTTTATTTCTCCAGCCTGAAGGATAAACAACTTTAATTTGCACCACTGACTCAATTTCTTGCAAATCAAAGATTTTCCTAAAGGATATTCAGGACAGAAGAGAAGTGAGTGTACTGTAAGTGACACAGGGACAACGCCTATCAATTACCTCCTAGCTGCACACAGGCAGCCTTCTCTCATCTTGTGGATGACAGCGCACTGATGTACAGTGCAGAAAATCCCTGGTACTGTTTTTGATGGCTTTATGTTCAGCAAAGATGGGCCAGCAAAGCTAGTCTGTAGGTCTCAGAAATGGGGGCATTCCTTTTGAATACTCCAGAAGTCACCTATCTTATGAAATACATCCAAATTGCCAACAGGGGCTACAACACTGTTGTCAAAACAAGCTGAGTTTACAGCCTTCATGCTGAAATTCAGAGATTGGTATGTTCTACTATGAAAAGAAAGAGGTGGTTTATTTGTCTTATTCAAAAATACAATTAGATTTACTGACATCTTGATCAGAATGGAATGCAGAGACAGTTTTGTTTCTTCAAGCTGAATTTAGACAATGGCATTTCCCTAAAAAGGAATCATCCAAGAGTGGGAGGGTAGAAGAATTCCCCAAATTATTCAATTTTTAGCAGACCTAACAGATGTCAGAAAAGCTATTTTCATTAAAAGGTACATATGGAGCAGATGCCACTAGACTGAAAAGCTTTCCTCATGGGAAACCAAGTCAAGAGTTTAATATAGGTAAAAATCCTCTGTAAAACCTCTAATTCAACCAGATAGCAAAAATAAAT